CAGCAGGCAATATATCTTGGAATCTCCACAGTAATGTGTCTGATAGGAATATTAGTAGGTAAGGACAAAGCAGGGTTATTTGAAGTATGGTCCTTGGAACAGCAGCATTGGCATCCCCTGTGAGGCAGTTAGAAATGCAGATGCATGGGCCCCACCCAGATCTACCCAATCAGATTCTATGGGGAGATTTTGAAAATGAGACCTTGGAAACTGTTTTTAACATGTTCACCCATTGGTAATTGTTCACAACAGAGCCTGAAAAACAGTGAGGTAGAAAATCAAGTAAACTAGACCTGCAGAACTCCAAACGCCAGTTTGAAAAAAATCAACCTCTGATAAATTCTAGGAGATCTTAGTCTTCATATAGTTGTGCCTATTTCTTAAACCTAAGAAGGTTAAAACTGAGAAGAAACTCAGATGTATAAAATGCAATCACTGTAATATATAAAGCAAAACAGGTGAGTTCTAATAAGACACCTTAAAAGCCAGGCCCAGTTGTGTCTATAAATCAAGAACAAATTTATTTTTGTGAAGACCATTTTTCCCGCCTTGGTTACCAGCACACCTAATTATAGCAGCATGCACTTGTATGGCCACAGCAGATTCACTCTCTTGTGCAGGGAGATTATCTCGTAGCTGAAGTTTTGAGCCAACTTAAACAAAACAAAACTGACTTACCTCACTCCTCAATCTTCATTAATTAAAGACACCCTCTGCAAGAGGCAGGCAGGGCCTTTGCTTTCTTTTAAAGCTCTGGAATATAGACTGCCCAGAGATAGTTTCTGTTTATAAATGTATAACATGCATACAACTTCACAGGCATTTCAGAGCAGCACCACCAAAAAAATCTGCCAAAGTGGAATGAATAGAGAAGCTGCCACATCAATACACAATTAGAGAATTGAACTCCTGTGCCATCTTCCTCCTCCTCTCCCTTTCCTTTGAATCCCTGATGCCTACTGAAAGGGAATGGCAAGGGCAGGCTCCTCTTCCATCTCCACTTTGGAAACTACCATCTTGCTAAGTACCTGTGTACCATGCACAGCTGGACAACCACTACAAAAATCACAGCAGTCAGCACCTTTCCAGTACCTTACTTCTCCCTAGAAACTGACTGTGTGTGTGTGTGTGTGTGTGTGTGTAGAGAGAGAGCACTAACCCTTACAACAATCATGAGTTAGCCATTATTATCATGGTCCCATTTTTCAAATGAATGAACTGAGCACAGACTAATTAAGTACCTTGCCTCAGAATGCTGATGCTATAGTCTAGTCTCTCCAGGTACTCCGTGCAGTACTTCATTTCAACCTCAAACCAACCTTGAGAACCACAGTGGAAAGGTCAGTACAGTATTGAACTTGACTACAAAGCTCAAAGTCTACTGGTTAAAATGGGGTCGATAATAAGAGGACTCTAGGAGGCTTGGGGTGGTTCAGTTTTATAAGCCACATCCTAAAGTGGCTCAAGTTATAAAAAGATACAGCTCTCTTTGCAGGGCACACTGTGACCAAACTAGAGGTCATAGTTCCTTAGAGAACAGAAGTGTGAAAACAGACAACTAATGAATTTACCAATGTCTTTGGAGGAAATAATGTTTTGGATAGAAAGGTGATTGCAAAGCACACTGGTTTTGTTTTTGAGGTCATTCTTTCCCATGGACTCTGCTCTTGCATTTGTAAGAACACTGGCTGATCATGGTTGGAGGCCAGAAGTTAATGGTTTCCTTATAAGCTGTGAATTCAGTCACTTACTACTGCAGCCAAGTGAACTGAAAGTCCATCAGACAACAGAACTCTAGTCATACTACTGTTCTTAGAAGTATGGGATGAGAGAAGCAGAATTTCTAGCCAAGGAAAACCCTCCTCCACATCCCCCCCACATCAATAGTACCAACTGCATTTTTGATGAATGATTAGTGGGGTTTTCCAAGAATCTGGCAAAATAACTCTTGAGGGTGTTTTAGCATAGCCTTAAGATTCATGAGAACTCTTAACCTCCTTATGCTATCATTTTGCCAAAATAATTAATGGAGGAGCAGAAAGGGGCTTTCCTTAGGGGGTTTCTAAAACAGGGATTTGATTATTTCATCCATCTTTAAGTTTACAGTGCCAAATGTAAGTAGCATAATAGATAAATAGCAAACTTATATTTATACCACTGTGAATCTTTCCATGCTTAAGGGAGAGAACATAGATGGGAGAGACAATGATTCACTCAATTTAACCACTTTGCTGAATTTATGTGGTGTTAGGGCCTTGGAGAAATATAGTTTAAAATATCATTTTATATAATTTTAATCAGCACTGATTATAACAAAGTGAAATGGCCTACTAAAAAAATGGTGACAGGACTGTATCTCATTACCCAAGTGTTACCAGTATTAAAAGGAATGTCCGGCACATGTCTGTATCTATCTATCTATCTGTCAAATATCTATCTATGACTAAATCACTAAGGTTTTTTCCAATTTACCATTTTGATGATGATGGTGGTGGTGGCGGCAGTGTTGTGTTCTTGGGAAGCATTATTTATTAATCCTCCCAAAACTGCTATCAGGTAGTTAAAATTATTGCTATTACTTCATAAGTGATGGAAATGAGGCTCAGTATGGTGCTATAACATGCCCAGAATACACTGCTAGTGTGGTAGAGCTGGGATTTGAACTAAGTCTCCCTGCTTCCAGAGTCTGCATTCTTGTTCACTGTTCTTGAGTTCCTGCCAGTAATCAGTGTTGGTTTGAGATAGTAAATTTGAATTCTTGATGAAAGTCAAGACAAAGATTCCTTTAGCTTATTTCAACACCATTTTTTTTTTTTTTTTGGTGTGGGGAGAGTATAGTGAGAGGATGTGTTTCTATTACATGCTACACTCCTGTCATGGTCAGGTTTTCAGTGACAAAGTTCTTCAGAAATCCACCATTGTTGAGTCCAAAAATGATTCCACAGTTTATCTGTAAGTTCCTGTTTTTGAACCCCAGAAACAAAATTTTCAACAGGTATTTTGTTCCAAAGTGGCAATGAGGTTCTCAGAGTATGTTCTTAAAAGCCAATTTAACTCATAATTAAAATGCAGTGATAAACTCATAATTAAACCAAAGGGGAAAAGGTACCATTCAGTAAGATATAATTTATAAAATTAAGTCTGATATTAAAGGAAATGCAGACTTAATGAAGACAAACATTTTTTAAAATTGGAAGGAAAAGTCTGGATGCTTTATGAAAGCTTTTAGATACAGGTCGCTTAGTCTTTTTGTTCCAATTTTTCTTTGGAAACTGGCCTTCCCTGTTCTTTGTATCCCAGGTGGAGGTGCTGTTACAGGCACTACCATATTTGGCACCATTATTAGATCGATTTGATGTACAGTTAGAACAAATGATAGAAGGAAAAGAGACAAGGATGTCTCCCTGGTGGCCACTGGACAGCTCAGGAGATGATAGAGGGCTTCAGAGAAGATGTGTGCATGGGCAGGAGAAATTATATACAAGCTCCACCTGAGGGAACAAGGAAAAAATGGACAGGTGTCGGGGGCGGACACATGACTGTTGAGGAAGAAGCACAGCTGTAGGGAAGACAGGTAACACGAGTATATGTGTGTGCGTGCACCACAGTGCCATGCAATTGCATATTATGTTTAATTTTCACTTATTCAATTTATTAATCATCGTCTTTGTGCCCAACACTGAGCTTACATATAAAGTCTGAGCTCATGGAGCTTAGATTTTTGTGGGGAAAAGAGACAATAAGCAAACAAATATATGAAAAACAAAACATAACAATGATCATTGATAACATCCAGGATGAAAGTACTGAAGGCACTAAGAGAATAAATAACAGGAGCATGTGCAAATTGGAGGGAAGTTTCTCAGAGGAATGTAGATGAAAGTCACTGTACTCTGCATGAGGAAGAGCTCAAGCACAGCAGTTCACAGGACAGAGGCTAGGAATAGCCAAGGGCCTGGCAACGACAGAAGCTGGTAAAGTTCTGAGAACTGGAAGGAACTGGAGCTCAGTGGTTGAGAAGGAGATAGAAATGTAATGAGTGAGAAGAGGTGGGCAGGGGGAGGTCTGTATACAACCTCCAGGACCAAGCTAAGAAGTTAAAATTTTAAGTCTAAGGTCAGAAGGGAGCTTTGGGGGAGATTTTAAGGGGAATAGTGGGTTGAGGAGCTCGGTCATGGCTGCTGGGAGGACGATGTGCTGGAGGCCAAGGACTGGCTATGCTCACCATTGCAAAATGTGTCCCTCTGTCCCTGGTTACAGGTGCTGCACAGACTGGTAAATAAGACTGCCACTTGCCATCCAGCGTTTTACAGGTGGAAAGACACTAGTGTGAGTAATATGGTTTTATATTCTTTCAGATGTCACAAGGCTATAGAAAACAAAAATTGGAGACTGACAGAATATTGCAACTTTTGTTTGGCTAAGAGAGTAAAATCTCAGCTAACCTCTACAATCACTTTGACTTCATAGAAGAAAAGATTTTTGTAAAACTAAAAATATAAGGATATAATTTCAGTTTTATAGCAAATGTTAAATTTTTATTTTGGGGTAGAACCTGAAAACCTCCTTAACAGATTGGGTTCAAATCCACAGATGAGTGTGCAGAATGTCAATGTTTAGGAACTATCCATCCCACCTCTCTATCCCCACTCACAGATGAGGAAGCCTGAGTTTCAGAAGGTGTGTGATTTCCCCAGGGCAATGACTTCACTTCAGGACAGAGCAAGAGGGTTTCTGTTTCCAGACTCCAGGTTAATTTTCATCCCATCACACCTTCATGCCATGGACTTCAACTTCTTTCTTCTGCTTGCTAAGGTTTGAACACTGTACCATTTGCTCCTGTCTAATGTGGAGTTCACCTGCAATGTTCACTTCCCTAACATTATTTTTGATGGCTAAGACATGTGCCAAGAATCAAGCCCTCAGCAAAATAGCACTCAACCTGGAATCCCACAAAATGGAATCATAATCTTTTTAAAGAAGAGTAAGGTGTGTCTCACCTGATCTTCAGATAGGCTGCAACTCCAAACACCAACAATACTACAGCAATCACTGTCACTGTAATGGCGGCGATGCTGCCTGTGAAGGAAGAAGGGCCCAGAGAAGAAGATAAAGGAATGAGTTTAATGACTCTGGAGTGCAATACCTACCCTTCTTTTTTCTGAAACAGGAAAAAGTTATTTAGTTCAGGCAATTCTTCATGGAAATCAGAACACAGTATCTTAATTCTGTTACTTGAATTAAAAAAAAATGCAAAGCAAGATTCAGTAATGGCCAGTATTTCTTTCAGTATTTATCAAGACCTCTTGCTAGCTTGGCAATCAGAGAACCATACATAGTGACATTTGATTACCTTTTTTAAGAGTGACAGGCCAGTTGCTGCTGCTGTTGTTTGCAGTGATAGTGTATTTTAAATCTTTTGATATTTTCTTTTTTTCTTTTATAGGTTCTGGCTCATTTTTCTAGCACTTGTGAAATATTGAGAGACAGGATTTTTTTTTTATTCCAGGGTCACAACAAAGCCATGTGGTTGGTTTTTAATAAGCCAGAACCACAAAGACTTATCAGTAGTGTCCATTTCAAAAGGTCACTTAGGTAGGAGATGAGCTAATTTTAATTATGCCATCATATAAAAACATTTAAAAAAATTCTTTGGAAAGTGTGTCCAAATTTTATAACTAAATGGCAAGTTTGGTGTACAAAATAAGGTCACATGTACCAGGTAACACTAGTATAATTAGAAAGTAACATGAATGTATTATTCTGCAGTTTGGATCTTATTCCAAAAGCAACTACTAATGGGCTGCTAAAAATAAACAAAACTCCATAGCCTCACAAGAATGATCATACTGCCTTTAAATACTACTTTGGAGCACAACCCTCTTTGTATGAACTTTGAGCTAATAATGTGAATAGTTCAGTTTTATTCCACCTTAGAAATCCCAAGAATCAGTTGGGCTCTTATCCTTGAATATTTCAAGTGACTTTTTTTTGCACTACAGATGGTGTTAGGGAGCTGTTTATTCTTTTAGTACGGTGGGAAATTATTTACTATTTCAACAAACAAATAGGGCTCTTCTTAAACACATGGGAAAGAGCATAAGAGATTTGATGTTGAGTATGTGGATTGAAGTGTAGTTCAGCCATGATTAGCTGTGAGACTATAAGCTACTTACTTAACTCTGCCAAGACAGAAGAATAAGTGTGTCACTCATCTCACATATTTTAAGGAGGTTAAATGAGATGTCATATACATCATCTGAAGAATTATCCAAATATATGACCCTAGACCAATCACATCTTTCATACATTAGGTCTCAAATGTGATGAATCTTCCTCACATTTTTAAAGATTTACTTGCCCTATCCCTTTATTTTCTTCCTCAGTAGGAATGGCTTTTGTTCTTTGCATTATCCCTTCTACCAAAAGAATTAGAGCATAGCTAAGAAGCAAAGCTACTTATTAACTCTTTAGTAATTCCCCCAAAGTTTTGGGTGAAAGAAGACTACATCAGGTATTCATGCTTTCAGTGGCTATAATTTATAAGAGAGAGCCAAAGAGGATCATTGCTAATATGAAGACGAAGACCAGAGCTGTTGTATCCATGGAGATGGACCATATTCAACCATTTCAGAACCTGCATACTTCTGGGCAGCCACATATTCATTTCTTTGCTCCTAGATTCCTTTTGAGTCAGATTAGTATAATTAAGAGTATAATTCTCTTTCCCTTTTTACTACATAAAGATAGAATTGTGGCACTGATTTCTCAAATGTGCAGATTAGGTCAATCAGAAAAAGTTTGAGGTCAGATCCTCTTACAAATTCCCACTCTTACTTTGAAAGGAAACTCTTAGCTTCTTGGCCTCCAAACTGTGCTGAAATTAGAATAATCAAAGTTCAGTAAGCTTCATAACAGATTTTTTTAACAGCTTGTGAAAGGAGGATTATAACTGCAAAGGTAAGGTGATGGGGGTATTTTAAAATCAGAAAAGATTCAGTCAATGCAATTAGAAGCAGTTTAAAAAACTGACCTTTTAATTTAATCTCTCCCCTTTTTAAAAAAATGGAGAAGAGAAGGAATATAGCTGATTTCCCTACAAGACACTTTTTTCTTCCCCCTGGGATAGCTGAGTATAGGAAATCATAGATTTGACCTTTTGCAAAGTTTCTTCCTAACTCTAAGGAGTTGGGTTTCTTCCAACACTGTGGTTTACTGAGTTTATTTATATACCACTTCTTTCTAAAGTCATTCAGGCAGTCCTCAACTTAAGTGCTGTTCTTTTTGTTGTTGTTGAGACAGCAAGTGATAGTCACCTGCTTCTCCTTTATGTGATAGTGGCTGTCCAGCTCTAGGTGTAGCCCCAATCTTAAAGGTTGCCCTTCCTGGTTCACAGATGACATCACCCTGGATAACCAGAGTTGGAAATTGCAAGTGATTTTCTACCTGATAGGCACTTGGGAGCAGCTGGGAAAAGGGACGCTTTTGAGAGCTGGTACTGTTCAATATAAAGCCAAAATGTATAAGATAAAATAGTTTGTACTTAAATGTCTGGACCTCTTCATTAACTATTCTGCTACCCACTGGCTCTTCTAGAGGGTACTACAATCTTCTGAAAGCAGACCTTTATCATGCACCAGCCTAGGAGATCCTGTGTTTGATCATGCTCGCACCTCCCAGCAGCTGCTGCCTCAGAAGTTTCCAGTCACCTTAGTGTGGGAAGTTCCACATCTGAGGGCTCAGTGATTTGAGCATGTAAAGGTGTTGTCTAAGCCAACATTAGCACAATGTCAATGGTAACTGAAAAGGCTTTATTTCTTGCCTGTGAAAACAAGTGCCATTTCCCCCAGACTTTTGTTTAAACTAAGCTGGAATTTCCCTTGTCCTTCTATGCTCTCTTTTTTGAAGGTGGGGCAAGGAGAAGAAAAAATGAGGAAAGTGGGGCCAGAAGCAGGGGAGGCTTTGCCCTATGAGGAAGGTGCAGATATTTGGTGGGATGTGTGCTGGGAATGGAGGAGAATAAATGGGCTCAAGAATAATCATAGCTACTTACCTTTTGGAGGTAATTACTTTGGGCCAGCACTGGGCCAAGAACTTTACAGCTCTCATCTCATTTAACTCTCTATATGAGAGGAGTGGACTTATTCCCATTTTATAGATGAGGAAGTTGAGGCCCATAAGATGAAGTTGAACTCCTTTCTCAGCTTGGTCAGCCCCTATTGTTTCTTCATGACCTAACTAAATATCAAGAACTGTTGAGAAGCTTTCCCTGATACTCCTAATCAAGAGACAGTGCTGTTGTGTGCTCTGGTATATCTATCTCCTTCTTTCAAACACCGTTGTGTTTATGAGCTTCCCTAGTAGACTCTAATCTTGTCCATCTTGCACCTCTTCCATTTTTTTGTGTGCCCTTACTACCAGGCACGGTCTCTACCCATAATGGATCTCTAACTCTTTCATCTAATGTTGAATATTTGAATAAACAAACATAATATTGGTAGGAAAAAAACATAAATGAAGTTTTACCCCCACCCCCACCCCCCACCAATCTCTGTGCTAAGAAAATTCTCAAGCAACAGGCCCTCCATCTATTCATTCTGGAATCCCCTGTTCCAGGTCTTAACTAGTACCTATTCTAGAACTACATTATTGGTCCCACCACCCTAGTCCCTTTCCCTCCACACTGTGCACTTGACTGTCTCCATGGATGACTAAGGTGTTTGGCTGCAGTAGAGTTAATTTAGGAATAACTGAATAGAGTCAGATAATGACCATGAGCCAGCCATAGCAAACTCCTAAAAGGCCATGATCTGGTCAGATCTAGTCAACCACCAATGCAGTCCTAGAGTAAATAGTGAGGTTATTTTAATGGACCTCTCTCTCCATGCCTGCTTCTTACCCACAGACACACACTTTGTCCTTATCACACTCAGAGGCTTCTGCTCATGCCATAACAGCTTCCCCTCACTTGACCAAAGCATTCCTTCCTGTCTTCCTGGTGTTAGCAATATTCCCAAACCTTAAATGTCCCTCTTGAGGGTCTTCTCACTGAGAAATTTTCTTCCCTCCCCTTAAACATGAAAGAAACACTTGAACACTTTGGCAGGAAGACTTTTCAATTGTATCCAAAATGAAAATATTCGGATGTGATGGGGTGAACAGCTTTGGAAAGAAAGACCTTGACTAGGTGCTTCAAAAAAGGCATTGCTCTGAGAGACTATGGGTGGAGGAGTTGATTGTGGAAGGTAGAGGGTGAAGAAAAGGTGAGTTCCTGGTTTCTATCCATAGTTCTGACTTCTGAGCCACATGGCTCCTCAGCTTGTTGGCACATAAGTGTGAATGTCTGACCGAGGTCCTGGGCATGAACTCACACCTCTGATCTGTTTGAGAAGAATCCTTAACAACCCTCTTAACGGCTCTTCAATATTCTTGCTCTTTTCTTCCTTCTTCCTGGTGTGGAGATTTGGTAAGACATGGAGGAGAGGAGTAGGTGATCACTTCAGTGTGCAGTGACTCATTCAGCAAAGGTCACCAAGAGGAAAGGAACACATTGTCTCAAAAGAATCCTTTCTCTTTCATGTGTCTCTGCAGATGTATTGGAGGAGGGGAGTGGGCAACTGGGAAGAATATGTATGTGCTAAATTTCCATTTATTATATCAGGCCCTCCCTTTTTACTCCCAAGAGTAACCATGATAATAAGAGTAATAAACAACAATACAAATAATGGCAACTAATGCTTTTCTGTTGTTTACCCTGTGGGACTTTTCTGTGAGTTTTGTCGTTTCAATTCATTTAATCCTCACAACAACTTTGTTAGGTATCTACTTTTGCTATCTCCATTTTACAGATGGAGAATCTGAGGCACAGAAATGCAAAGACCCCCCAAAATCACACAACTGATAACTTATGAAAATGCTGACCCAGGATCCATGCTGCTACTCACTAGGCTCTTCTACCACCCTGGGTTCTAGTGTTAGAGCCAAGTCCAACTTTATATAAAATCTGCACGACTTTGCTATTGGCAATCTTGGAGTCAGGGCCTAATGGGACCATGTGCTGGTTTGAATCCTCTTGTAGG